GTGGTCAGGGACAGTGTGAACGTGGGGTTCGGGCCTGCTCGGCACTGCACAGGCTGCCACGTTGTCGTGCAGAACGGCCCTCAGGAGCAGTGCCTACGCGTTAGCGGCGGTGGTCTCGGCGAGGAGCGGGGCTCCTTTGGAGGGGACGGGCTGTGAGGTTCCGCTCCAGCTGCCCCTCTCTCCCCTGCAGCTCAAGGTGTGGGTGTACCCTGAGGGCACGAGGAACGACAACGGGGACCTGCTACCTTTCAAGAAGGGTGCCTTCTACCTGGCGATCCAGGCCCAGGTACGCCAGGGCAGCGCCCTCTCCGGGGAGGGGGGCAGGGAAGCGGGTCCCAGTCGGCCTCAGGCGGAAGGCGACTGCCTGGCCACCGCCCCTCGGCACCTGCTTCCTGACCCGTGACGGAGGGCATTTCTTCGGGCCTCTTCACCCACTCTGAGCACTAGGGCTGGTGGCTGATCGGGTCCAGTGGGCAGTGGGACTCACGCTTGTCACCGGGGCACCCGTGCCTGGAGCTCCAGCACCCCCGGGTTGGAGCTGGCCAGGCAAGGGGCCCCCGCAGGGAGGCTGGGGTCGGCGTAGAAGGCAGAGGCGGCGGGCCTGTTTGCTGAGCGCCCGGGAAGGCCGAGTGCTAGTTGGGTCCTGCAGAACCGCTGGCTGGAGTGGGGTTTCGGGGGCACCAGCGGGTCCAGAGGGGCAGGGCTGGGTGGAGCCGGAGGCGGGCCTGGAGAGAGCGAGCTGCAAGCTCTGCGCTGGGCCGTTGTGCTCTGGCCCAAGGCGCAGTTTGTCCAAGAGGGGCTTGGGGGTGATGCCGGGAGAACCTGGGGGCGCATCCGTCTGCGGGGCAGGGTCTCCTGGTGGGGAACGGGCGCCCTGTCCCACTCCCTGTCGGGGGGGTGTTCGTGTTGGGGAAAGTCATCGTCTGGGGTCAGGGGAAGGGGCTGTCCTCCTGCCCAGTTGGGGTCTGGGAGGGGGCTGGGCAGGGGTCTGCTCGCCTGATCCCCACCTGTGCCGGGTGCCTCTGGCGCCCCCTGGTGTCTGGCCCCGAGCACGGCTCGCAGGGGCTCCCAGCTCACACTCCCGATGCCCTGGGTGCATGGGGCGGAGGGGCCCGGAGCCCGGCAATGTCTCAGCAAGGCTCTCTCAAGCCCTGGACCTGCGGCCCCTCCAGCTGGGAGGTGGAAGGCACCCCTGCCACATGCCTGGGGCCGATGTCACTTCCCTGGGCTGGTGGCATGAGAGAGAGGGGTGGTGGGAGAGGGGACACTGAGGTGTGGCAGAGCTGGGGGGAGACGGCCTCAGCCGGGAGGTTGGGCATCTTCCCCTGTCCTCTCCCCTGGTTAGAGCTGCGCCGGGATGGGGGAGGGGTGGGCCCAAAGACCTCAATAACCTCCTGCTAAACTGGACAGGACCCTGACCACCCCCCCACCCCTCCCCTGGGCCATCAGGACCGTAGGGGCACCGATGTGTATCATAAGGACATGTGCCAGCCCAGGAGGCTTCCTGGTGGAAAGGAATACTTGAGTGAAGATATGTGGGATGCGTTTACGGAACTCTGGGCCACCCAGGGCGTGAGAGGTGTCCCCGGCCCAGGGGTCAGTATGCAGAAGGGCCCTGAGGCAGGTCAGCACATGTGTGCGGCCATGGCACTCCCAGGACCTCCTCAGGCCGAAGGCAAGCGGGTGGCCAGGCAGGGCTCCCCAGTGGCTCATTCTTGGGGCTCCCGGTGGGCAGGGATGGGCTCCTGTGTGTCCTCAGGCACCGTGGCTTCCTGTCCACAGGTGCCTATCATCCCCGTGGTTTACTCCAGCTTCTCCTCCTTCTACAACTACAAGACGAAGTTCTTCACCTCAGGTAGCGGGCCCCCCCCCCCCTCCACCGGTCCCCACACTCGGGCATAGCACCCTCGGCCGTAGGACACCCAGAACCCCAGTGGGATAGTTCCCGTCTCTGGGAGGTTCCTCTAGGCCAGACCCTGCCCCTCCGTGATCATGTGGTGAGTGGAGAAGGCAGGCGGGACTCTGGAATCCCAGCCACGAGCTGAGGCGGGCAGTAGTGGGCCCATTTCCCAGATGAGGACGCGGAGGCTGGCAGAGGGTGGGGTAGGTGCCCGAGTTCACACACACAGGCCCAGGCTGGGCAGCGGCCTCCCAGGTACCCCTGCGCCCACCAGCCAGGGAACTCGGGGCCGCTACCCTTCCTTCCAGACCCTAAGTGTGGGCACCCGGTGCCTGGGTGGGAGGGTGGGGCCAAAGGTTGAAGGGCAGTGGGGGGAGGAGCCTTGCTGTGTCCCGCCCCCAGATGTGAGACTCCCGGCCACCTAAACCATCACGGGGGATGAGAGCGCGATGGCGGGTGTGGGTGCCCGGGAGGGCGCAGAAGCTTGGCAGGGGTGGTAGGGGCGCCTAGAGCCGTCAGACCCTGCAGAGCACGTACTTTGGAGCTTTGGTTGTGTCACTTACTCTCCGTTAAAAACCAACCATCTGAGACCAGGGTGTCCAGGAAAGAACCCAGCCTGGTGGGGCCTTGGGAGGCTCCAGGGAAGGCCCGTGGGCGGCCGAGGAGCAGGAGGCAGGGGGTGTGGGCGGCGCGGGAGCCAAGAGAGGCCGCGACACGGGTGCCCGGACAGCAGGTGCTGGCAGGGGCCCCCAGGCCACTGATGCCCGCCCCCCCCAACAGGAACGATCAGGGTGGAGGTGCTGGATGCCATCCCCACCAGTGGCCTCACCGTCGCTGATGTCCCCAAGCTTATGGATAGCTGCCACCAGGCCATGAGGACCACCTTCCTCCGCATCTCCAAGACACCCCAGGAGAACGGGGCCACCGCAGGGCCTGGTTCCCAGCCCGCCCAGTAGCCGAAGCGGGGCAGGACCTGGGGGCAGGACGGGGCCGACCGGGGGCAGGGCCTGACTGGAGAATGGACCGAGGGACCTCCTCCCCTGCCCCAGCTGCTAAACGTCACTGTGTCCTGCTCCTACGTGGTTCTCCCCGCTTTGGTTTCGCCCCGGATGCAGGCCACTGCTTCCTGTCACGGGCCTCGGATCCAGGCCTCCGACGTCCCCCAGGAGAGTCAGCTGGACCCTCCTCACGGAGCCCACCCTTGGGCCTCCCGGATCTGGGAGCAGGCCTGGGCCCAGACGGGCTGGCGGCCTCGGGGTGGATGGCCGGCGCTGAGACACTTTACCCTCCTGCCTGGGCCCGCGGGGTGCAGAAGCGGGGTGCAGGGCGGGCCCTCCGGGAGAAACGGGACTCTAGGTGGGGGCCAGACACCAGGTCCTGTGCAACCGGGGCCTCGGAGAGCCAGAAAGCAGAGGTCCTTGCTCCACTGGCCTCGGGGAGCAGGGCGGCCGCCCGGGCACCGCTTTCCGTTGTTTTTTATAAAGGAACTCTCGGGAGTGCCTGGTGACTCGTGATCACTCAGGGGGCAGGCGGGACGCCACAGCCCTCGGCTCCCGTGCGCGTAGCGTGGGCGCCTCTGCCTCCCCGCTCCAGGGGCCAGGCCCACGATCATCCTGCATTGCTGTCTTCCGCGGGTGGGGGTGTCCACCTAAGTGGGCTGTGGGCATCCTGGGGATCTGGGGAAGGAGGCTGAAGATCTGCTCTTTGCCCCCTGGGGTTGCCACCTAGAGGCTAGTTTCGCCTTCCGGAAATCACCTGCTCCAGCCCCTGCCGCAGAGGGAGGACCGGGACCCTCTAGAGGAGGCTGTATAGAGGGGCTGTGTGGCTGCAG